TCTTGTCTCTGGTTGCTTAAACTGTGAAGCTAAGCACTGTGCCTCAGCGCTCCACCCATGAGCAAACATTTCACCCTTATTTCACAGAGATTATGCAAAGTACAGCAAGTGGCTATAACCATGGGAATATCCTCCTCCATAAGGTCTAGCCTGCCATAGAGACACCTCCATCTCCCTTTCAGTCTGCAAAAGGCACATTCTACTACCATGAGGCTTCAACTTATGCTATTGTTAAATCACTCCTTTTTGCTGTCCAAGTGCCCTGTGTAAGGTTTCATGAGCCCAGGCTGTAAGGGATAAGCTGGATCTCCTAGGATAACTAGAGGCATTTCCTCATTCCTCATTATAATCTTGTGGTCTGGAAAGAAAGTCCTTGCTGGCAGCTTTCTGTATAGGCCAGTGTTCCTGAAGATATGCATATCATGCTCCTTTCCAGACCACCCCACCTTTGACTGTGAAACTCCCATAGTGATCTGCAAGCACCTACAGGGCTATCAGAAAGCATCCCTTCCTGCTTATGTACTCTGTGGCAAGATGGGCTGACACTAAAATTGGAATGCGTGCGCCATCTGTTGCCCCAGCACAGTTAAGAAAGCCCCATCGCTGCATCATGCACATTTCCCAGAGCCAAGGTCATCCACAGCAGAATGAGATTATTGCTCTCCACACTTGCAGCAGTACAGCCCCAATGGTAGACTTTCCTACTCCAATCTGATTTTCAACAGATAAGTAGCAATCAGGAGTCGCCAGCTTCCACGCAGCAATTGCCACACTCTTCTCTGCCAAGAGGGCAGAGGTGTCCCTGTGCTGCAGTTCAGGGGCAAGCTCAGCACACAGCTGTAGGAAGGTTGCTTTGTGCATCCTACAATTCAGTAGCCACTGGTCTTCAGCCCACATCTGCATGACAGTACAATCTCACCTGTGTTTATTTCCAAGTCCCAAAAGTGATGGTCTACAGCTGATTTGTGATAGCCAAATGCAATGACAGATTGCTGCCTTCCATCTCGCGCAGAGTGGTGTTCACCTGCGACTCTTCTTTCTCTGTTAGTAACTTCAGCAATAATTCTTTCTCAATGAGTGGTTCCCTCACGGCACTGAACACAGAATAGGAGAGAAGTGTGAGATTCCTGCTTTCTCACTGCTGATACTGGAGTGCACAGCAAAGACTGGCAGTAAGAAAAATGCCATGAAAGGAAGCCGGAAGCCCCAACAAGCTGGGAAACAAAGCAGTGCCTGACAGGATGTTTTACGTGTTCCCAAGATGTGCTGTGCTCTGTTCCATATTCCCATAGCTCCTAGTGAAAGAAGGTGTCTCCAGGCTCTGTGGGATGCATGCCAATTGTGCCTTACTCTGTTGACAAGGGAGTTAAAAACCTGGCCGTGATCTGTTGGCTGAGGGAGCCAGCACAAACGTGTTCTAGGGACTTTTTTTGTCGACTATGTCAACGTTATTGTTGCCAAAACTTTGCAGTGCAGACATTCCCTAAATCATCTTTTTGATAAGCTAAATAGAAACTTGAGGAGATGTGTGCCATACCACCATTTAACGTCACACAAGTCATTCATGGTGCAACTCAGTCTGAGGATCTCCCCTGACAACTTGCTTAAAGCTTCTCTTACAGCTAATTAACCACCCTTTCCTCTGTTTCTCCTGCAGGTACGGTGGGCAGGTGTCAGCTGTCTGTGCCTACAGCGTTCAGGACATCCAGAAAGCCATGAATGGCCGTTTCAAGGAATTTAAACATGATTGTGACAAGTGGACAAGTGTCATGGGTGGAGATGTCCCTGAACCACGACCAGGCGCAGTAAGTGATGAGACTGTGCTGGGTACTGGGCAGACAAATTGATCCTCCCTCTCCTTTCCCTTCCATGAACTGAGATGTGGACCTTCAGACTTTGACATAGAACACCAGATGAGGAGGTGAAGGAACTGTTGACCAACATATAGGCTGTGTTCAGACTCAGGGGGTTTTTCGGGAAAAGTAGCCTTTTTCCGAAAAAACTTCCCCTGTGTCCAGACTCAAGCCGCGTTCTTTCGAAATTAAATCGAAAGAACGCGGCTTTTCTTTCGATGGCGGTAAACCTCATTTCACGAGGAAGAACGCCTTCTTTCGAAAGTTCCTCTTTCGAAAGAAGGCGTTCTTCAATGTAAATAGGGCTTCTTCAAAAGAGAGCATCCAGACTCACTGGAGGCTTTCTTTCGAAAAAGCAAGCCGCTTTTTCGAAAGTTCAACGTGCAGTCTAGACGCTCTCTTTCGAAAGAGGCTTGCAGTATAGACATAGCCATACTGTCTACCATGGATGTGGATATGGTCTAGCTGGTGCTTAGTCTTGCAGTGAGGGCTGGGGGCTGAACTTGATGATCTCTCGAGGTCCATTCCAGTTCTAGTAGTCTATGATTCTATGCTTGTTGCCCTCCCCCTCAAAGAATTCTAGTACATTGGTGAAGCATGGTTTCTCTTTACAAAGTTTCCCTTGTTGATTCTTCCCCAACAAATTATGTTAATCTAGGTGTTCTTTACTATACAGGCAGTCCCCGGGTTACGTACAAGATAGGGACTGTAGGTTTGTTCTTAAGTTGAATTTGTATGTAAGTCGGAACTGGTACATATTGTAGGGGAAACTCTAGCCAAACATTTCTCCAGAGCTCAGTTTTATTCTCCCACACCTCACTTCCCTCAGTCCTTTATTCTCAAGCTGAGGTGTCTACTGAGAAAAGCTGCTCCACGTCTCCCTGGTCTGCTGGGTGGGGCTGCTGAGAAAAGCCGCTCCGTGTCTCCCTGGTCTGCTGGGGGGCGGGGGGGCGTGGGCGCTAGCTTCACGTCTCCCTGGTCTGCTGGGGGGAAGCAGCTATTACGGGGTTGCCTCACCCCGTTTGTAAGTAGGGATCCAATGTAAGTCGGATCCATGTAACCCGGGGACTGCCTATAGTTTCAACCAGATTGCCTGGTATTGAAGTCAGTCTTACCAGCCTGTAATTCTGGTGTCACCTCTGGAGCTCTTTTTAAAAATTGTAAGATAGCTAATGTGGCACCAGTCATTAGGCACAGAAGCTGATCTATATGGGCTCGTCTAGACTACGCGGAAGATTCAAAAGAGGATATGCAAATTCCAATCTCACTTTTGAAAGTGAAAGTAGTTGGGACGCGGCTTTTTTGGCAAGCCCCTCCCTTTTTCGAAAAGCTGCTCTTCCTCAAAAAATGAGGTTTAGATGGTGCTTATTACTGTTAAGTTTATCAATTTGTTCCAAAATGTCCTCTGAGATCTCAATCTTGGACAGTTTCCCAGATTTGTCACCTAAAAAGGATGGCTCAGGTTTGGAAATCTCCCTCACAACCTGAGCTGTAAAGACAGATGCAAATAATTCATGTAGTTTCTCTGCAGTGATCTTATTGTCCTTGAATGCTCCTTTAGCATCTCAGTCATCCAGTGACTAGTTGTTTAGCAGGCGTCTTGCTTCTGATGGACTTAAACATGCTTTTGCTAATACTTTTTGAATCTTTGTCTAGCTGTTCCTCATATTCTAATTATATTTTCATACTTCAATTGTCAGTTTTTGCTTCTTTATATTGTCCTTACTAGGATTTGACTTCCACTTTCTAAATTATGCTATTTTTTGCTTCTCACGCTACTACTTTTACTTTGTTGTTTAGCCAGAGTGGCATTTTTTCGCTTTTTTTGTTTTTAATTTGGGGTATATATTTAAGTTGAGCTTCTAGTATGGTATCTTTAAAAGGTTCCATACAGCTTGCAACAATTTCATTTTTTGATACTGTTATCTTTTAATTCTTCTTTTAGTGCTTGCTCATGTCCATTCAATGCACGTGTGTGTGCTTGTCCTGTGCACCTGTACCAGGAGATTTGCCCTCAGCAGTATTTGTAGGGGTTTAGCATACACATGCAGTGTTAGAGAGGATGCTGCTGGCCCCCTTTCCCTTCCCAGTTCTTCTTGCTGCCAGTGACAGTGCTTGGAACTGCTTGCTCAGCCCTTGCTGTTGCTCCTTTACTGTTAATTGTTTGTTTTCTCTTACAAATAGTCCTCTTATTGTTCGTTGTTACATCTTTAACATGTGTTAATCGCCAGAGGCCTATTCCGGTCAGCAACCCATTCAGTTATTCACTTCAAGGCTGTAATGATGGAGTCTGTCCTTGCCTTGCCAGAATGCTCATACTTGGTACTCAGTACCAAGTTAAGGGAATGCGGATTGGATAAATGGACGGTAAGATGGATAGAAAGATGGCTAGAAGGCCGGGCCCAGCGGGTAGTGATCAACGGTTCGATGTCAGGATGGCGGTCGGTTTCTAGTGGAGTGCCCCAAGGTTCGGTTCTAGGACCGGTTTTGTTCAATATCTTTATTAATGACCTGGATGAGGGGATGGATTGCACCCTCAGCAAGTTTGCAGATGACACTAAGCTAGGGGGAGAGGTAGATATGCTTAAGGGCAGAGATAGGGTCCAGAGTGACTTAGACAAATTGGAGGATTGGGCCACTAGAAATCTCATGAGATTCAACAAAGGCAAGTGTAGAGTCCTGCACTTGGGACGGAAGAATCCCAAGCATAGTTACAGGCTGGAGACCAACCAGTTAAGTAGTAGTTCTGCAGAAAAGGACCTGGGGGTTACAGTGGATGAGAAGCTAGATATGAGTCAACAGTGTGCCCTTGTAGCCAAGAAGGCTAATGGCATATTAGGATGCATTAAGAGGAGCATTGCCAGCAGATCCAGAGATGTCATTATTCCCCTTTATTCGGCTTTGGTGAGGCCACATCTGGAGTACTGTGTCCAGTTCTGGGCCCCCCACTACAAAAAGGATGCGGACGCATTGGAGAGGGTCCAGCGGAGGGCAACCAAAATGATTAGGGGTCTGGAGCATATGACCTACGAGGAGAGGCTGAGGGACTTGGGTCTGTTTAGTCTGCAGAAGCGAAGAGTGAGGGGGGACTTGATAGCAGCCTTCAACTTCCTGAAGGGAGGTTCCAAAGAGGATGGAGAGAGGCTGTTCTCAGTAGTGACAGATGGCAGAACAAGGAGCAATGGTCTCAAGTTGTGGTGGGAGAGGTCCAGATTGGATATTAGGAAAAACTATTTTACTAGGAGGGTAGTGAAGCATTGGAATGGGTTACCTAGGGAAGTAGTGGAGTCTCCATCCCTAGAGGTGTTTAAGTCTCGGCTTGACAAAGCCCTGGCCGGGTTGATTTAGATGGGATTGGTCCTGCCTAGAGCGGAGGGCTGGACTTGACGACCTTCTGAGGTCTCTTCCAGTTCTGATTCTATGATAAGGGGATGGTTGGATGAAATAACATGATCTTGGTAACTAATTGACCATTCATTTCCAGTTGGAAATAGGTCAATGGAGGGATGATAGGAGTTGCTATAGGGAACTTTCTGGGTGTCTGGCTGGTGAGTCTTGCCCACATGCTCAGGGTTTAGCTGATCGCCATATTTGGGGTCGGGAAGGAATTTTCCTCCAGGGTAGATTGGCAGAGGCCCTGGAGGTTTTTCGCCTTCCTCTGTAGCATTGGGCACAGATCACAGCTGAAGGACTCTCTGCATGTTGGGGCCTTCAAAGTATTGGAAGGCTTCAATATCTGAGACATAGGTGAGAGGATTATTCTAAGAGGGGTGGGCAAGATTCTGTGGCCTGCACTGTGCAGGGGGTCAGACTAGATGATCATAATGGTCCCTTCTGACCTTAAAGTCTATGAGTCTATGAGTGCCTGGCTGCAGAGTGCTCGCCCACCACTGTCATCGACCAAGCACCATTCCTCATCTGTAGTCCCACTCAAAAAGCTAACGAGGATGGGCAAGGAGAAGTTCCTGGGCCCTCACAAGGATAAACCTAAACAAGTGGGGGACTAGGGCAGGGATGGTGTGCTTGAAAAGACACCACCCCAGGCAGAGCACAGCAGCCCTCCTCTTCCCCATGGTCCACCCCAGAAGTTTTCTCATGGCCCAGGACATCATTTTGACATTAGTACTGCCAATTCCAGCAGCTACCAGGCTCCCACCACCGGGGAAAGTCCTTGTTTGCATCTCGGTCTCTGAGTGCTCAACACTCCTGTGTGGCCAGAAGGGCCATCCACAGACCCACGTGATCCAGAATGGGGCCTGAAGCATCACCAGAGGCTGGGCATAAACTGTTGGAGGCTTGCACCCTAGGCAGTCACAGCACGCCAGGGCCAGCTACCCTCCATGCTCTGCCACTTAAGAAACAGGTCACCCTGTGCACGTCATTGCTCCCCCTACTGCCACTGCTCACATCTTTGAGGTGGACTTCTGCTGTGCGCAGGATCTCCAGATCCTAGTCAGGCTCTTGGCACCTCCTCTCGCCACTGGTCACTTTCCTCTGATGTGGGTCTCAAAAATGCCATTGGTCCCCTGGTCACCAGTCCAGACACAACCCACCAGTGTTCGCTGTAAGCTATGCACTTGTGTGGCTAGTTGGGAGAGATTCAAATGCAGCCCAGCTGATTAGCAGAGCACCCACAGCTAGGTTTTTGTTTCTCCTAGTGGTGCACATTCATGCATGCCTTGGTGAATGTGAAAAATTTATTCTGCATATGGATAAGATCCTGGACCAGGATCAGCTGTGTGGCTGCTGCTCCTGTGAAACGCCACCTTGGACCAGGCTCAGCTGTGCAGTGCTGCTTCTCTGAAGTACCCCTTCTTCTCCCCCTCCTCCCCGCCTTTGCTGCCTGCAGCAAGGTTGGGGAGAAGTGACTAGTCAACTGACTATCCGATAAGCATTGACTATCAGATAGTCAACTAGTCCTTAACATCCTTAGAACTTTCACACTCACCTGGTCCTCAAGGCACTGTCAACCACTGTGAATGGTTCACAATCCTGCTGGAAAGGTATAACAAGTAGGGTTCCACAGGGGTCTGTTTTGGGACCGGCTCTGTTCAATATCTTCATCAACGGTTTAGATATTGTCATAGAAAGTACGCTTATTAAGTTTGCAGATGATACCAAGCTGGGAGGGGTTGTGACTGCTCTGGAGGAAAGGGTCATAATTAAAAATGATCTGGACAAAGTGGAGAAATGGTCTGAGGTAAACAGGATGAAGTTTAATAAAGACAAATGCAAAGTGCTCCACTTAGGAAGGAACAATCAGTTTCACGCATACAGAATGGGAAGCGACTGTCTAGGAAGGAGTATGGCAGAAAGGGATCTAGGGGTTATAGAGTTAGGGTTTAGAGTCACACTGCTGACTCATATTCAAGTATCTAAAAGGGTGTTACATTGAGAAGGGAGAGGTAGATACACTGGAGGGCAGGGATAGGGTCCAGAGTGATCTAGACACATTGGAGGATTGGGCCACAAGAAATCTGATGAGGTTCAACAAGGACAAGTGTGGAGTCCTGCACTTGGGACGGAAGAATCCCAAGCATTGGTACAGGCTGGGGACCGACTGGCTAAGTAGCAGTTCTGCAGGAAAGGACCTGGGGATTACAGTGGATGAGAAGCTGGATATGAGTCAACAGAGTGCCCTTGTAGCCAAACAGGCTAGTGACATATGAGGTTGCATTAGGAGGAGCATTGCCAGCAGATCTAGAGAAGTGATTATTCCCTTTTTTTCGGCTCTGATGAGGCCATATCTGAAGTATTGTGTCCAGTTCTGGGGTCCCTAATATAGAAAGGATGTGGTCGTATTGGAGAGGTCCCAGCAGAGGGCAACCAAAATGATTAAGGGGCTGGAACATATGACCTATGAGGAGAGACTGAAGGATTTGGGTTTGTTTAGTCTGCAGAAGCGAAGAGCGAGGGGGGATTTGATAACAACCTTCAACTTCCCGAAGGGAGGTTCTAAAGAGGATGGAGAAAGGCTGTTCTCAGTGGTGGCGGATGGCAGAACAAGGAGCAATGGTCTCAAGTTACAGTGGGAGAGGTCTAGGTTGGATATTAGGAAAAATTATTTCACTAGGAGGGCGGTGAAGCACTGGAATGGGTTACCTAGGGAGGTGGTGGAATCTCCATCCCTAGAGGTTTTTAAGTCTCAGCTCGACAAAGCCCTGGCTGGGTTGATTTAGTTGGGTTTGGTCCTGCCTTGAGCAGGGAGCTAAACTTGATGAGCTACTGCAGTCTCTTCCAACTCTTATGATTCTATTATTCTAATGGTTCTCCTGGGCCTCTGAGGATAGAGCAAGAAGCAATGGGCATAAACTGCAGCAAGGGCGGTTTAGGTTGGACATTAGGAAAAAGTTCCTCACTGTCAGGGTGGTTAAACACTGGGATAAATTGCCCAGGGAGGTTGTGGAATCCCCATTCCTGGAGATATTTAAGAGCAGGTTAGAGAGACATCTGCCAGGAATGATTCAGATGGTGCTTGGTCCTGCCATGAGGTCAGGGGACTGGACGTGATGAGCTCTCGAGGTTCCTTTCAGTTCTGTGGTTCTGCTGAGCACGTGCCAAATTCTGGGCCCCCTAGTGAAGGACACAAAGTCCACATTAGTGCTAGTGCACTATTCACTGGTGTGGTGCTGGATTCGACCTCAGACAGGGCTTTTCTATCTTGAGACAAGTTCCAGGCACTGGCGAGTCTTCTCACAGCGGCCTCTACCTCGTCGCTGACCACCACCAGAGTCTGCCTTCTCATCCTAAGCCACATGATTGTGTGTGCCTACGTGGTGTGCCTTGCCAGACTCAGGGTTTGCTCTTTTAAGCAGTCTACTCACCACCAGACTGGCTGGCATCAGTCTACTCGCCACCAGACACCCTAGATCGGGTAGTAACCATCCCAGCAGAAGTCCTCAACTCCCTGGCATGGTGAACCGTGCAAGAGAACGTCATGATGGGCATACTGTTTTGGATGGCACTCCATTCTGCCAAGCTGATGTTGATGCCTCTGCTCAGGGCTGGAGCGTCCATCTCGGGACCCTGCGAACGTAGGGAGAGAGGTCTCAGGACGAGAGGGCAATTGACATAAATGTCAGGAGCTCAGAGTGGTGTGGAAGGTGTGAGCTCTTCCTTCCTCACCTGTTGGGCAGAGTGGTTGGGGTCCTCATGGACAACATGGCCACAATGTTCTACACCAACAGGCAGGGAGGGGCTTTGGTAGGAAGCAGTGCAGCTCTGGGATGTCCACATTGGCTGTAGCATCTCTTTGGAGGCTCAGTACCTCCAGGGAGAGTCAGGAACGCTGTCGCCGACTGACTGTGTGGACAGTACTCTTCTCACCACGAGTGGGCTCTTCACCCAGAGGTGGCTTCCACCCTCCTCTTGAAGTGGGGAACTCCCCAGGTGACCTGTGTGCAACCACGTTTCCCAGTTTCTGCTTCGGACTAGGTCTAGTCAGAGGAAGGTTCCCTCTTTGATGCTTTCCTCCTCCCCTGGACAAAGGGTCTCTTTTAGGTGCTTTCCTCTGCACTGGTACTGGACTTTTCTCACCCTTCTAGTGTGGCAGCTTTCGCCACTGGTGCCGCGTGGATCTGTTGTCCCACGATCATGGCTGTCTGATGGACCTGCTGTCGCTCCACCACGTGGCATGGCTGAACTGTGAGGAGCAGTCCTGTTGGTATGGGGTGAGACATAAGCCATCCACCAGGCAGACATACTTTGAGAACCTGGTCCATTTTGCTAAGTGAGCCAAAGAGAAGGGGCCCTACTGTAAATGGTCTTGGACTACCTTCACCAGCTGAAGCATGAGGGTCTGACACATGCATCAATCAAAGTGTAGCTGGCTGCAATCTCAGTCTTTCATCCACCGGTTCTCGACCAATTGGTGACAGCTTGGTTCCTGATGGGCCTTGAGAGGCTCTTCCCGTGGGTTCAAGCCCCACTGCCCTAACTTGGGATCCTAACTTGGTTCTTGCCAAGCAGACGCCCTTCAAGCCAGTGGCTTCATGCTTGCTCTCACCTTTCTTCCAAAGTGGCCTTCTTGGTGGATAACATCTGCTAGGAGAGTGACCAAGCTCCGTGCCTTGACGTCAAAATCCCTTCATACTATCTCCTTTAAGGACAAGGTGCAGCTCCAGCCCAACCCAGCTTTCTGGCCCAAGGTGGCTTCACATCTTTTGGTACCTAAAATGCATGTGCTCAGAATAAACTCATGGTACAAAAAATAAGGTAAAAATCTAATTGGTGAAATTTAGTTTAAAATAAACTGGTAAGATAGAAAATGGCTTTAGGGTGTAACTTTGAGAGCCCACTTTCTACAAAAAGTGAATGTAACGACTCTGCATGAGATGGCTTCCTGGAGATTATTTAAAACTTTTTTCCTCTACTACATTCTAATATCTTATAGCAATAAAACTAACATTGGTTATTTGGTCTCTTAAATATATTTCATAACAACCCCATGAGTGGCGGGTGAAGGCCCAGCTGAGAGAGGCCTGCTCCTGAAGCCAAGCCTTGCCCACCCCCAGCCCGATCCTTCCTAGCCACCTGGAGGGACATGGCTGCCACACCACAGCAACAGCCTTCCCAGCAGCTGGGGTGTGTAGGTAACTTTGGAAAGCCTGGGCCTTCCCTTGTCTACATTACTGGCCACTCAGGAACAAACCAAAATGTAATCAGGCAATTGACTGTGTAGTTTATCAACAGATTGGCTCCCAGACCCAGGAGCTATCTAGCCCAAATATCACTCAAACCAATCAGGGCAAGACCGCAACCTAACTGCTCAACTTGGGTCACACAGAGTAAGAGGTACTGGTGTTTGTTAATCTCATATATCTGGCTCTGGCCAACAAGCACGGTGCACAATCCTTCATTTCCAGGACGCACAGTAGTTGCTACTGTAGCTTTTTTGTAAATGCTACTATGGCAAAATGCCTCTTTAAAAAACCTGATTTTATTGCAAGAGTCTAATGAAGCACTCTAGGCAAAACAGTAGTACTTCAAAAATTCCTAGGAAACAAGCTATACTTGAAAATGTATAAAAATCCATTATAAGTAAAACCTTCTAGGCAAAATGCAAAAAAACAGCAAAGGCTAAAATGGCAGATGCTAAAAATTAGCGATTATAATGGCCCAAAATAATTGAGTGTGTGTGGGAGGATTTGTTATAGATAGCATGTCTAATGCTTCTCATAATGCCCCCCTTTCTCAAGTGTTTAGTTAACTTACTAACCATCTCCCTATTCAGCTACTAGCCTGTAGATCCCTTTGGGACCTGTTTGTGAGAACAGCTAAATGGTCCCTCTACTGTAAAAGCCTGAATGGACCATTGTGGGCCTAGCCCCAGTTCCCAGTAGAATTTGCTGAAACCCAAGGTGATTTATGTTTGCGTGTGTATGAAACCTCCTGTGCAGGCTGTATGCACCATTCTTTATATTCAGAAGCCTGCTAAAGGAGTAGAATTACCAGTTTCTGACTGGGAAGCAGCATCCAGTCTGGGTGTTCTACTGCTCAGGCCATTTAAACATGTCTTCCTGTGTTTTATCCACAGTGCATTACCAAGAGCATGAAGCTGGCTGGCTTTGGCTCCTCACTGGCACTGCCTGACCGTGTTCTGACATTTGTTCGAGATCATCCTCTCATGGACCAAGTTGTTCACCCGCTGGAAATGGGACCGCTCTTGGTCAAGCTGGACACACTGTACCTCAAAATTGCAGTGCATCGCATCAGAAGCGTCTCTGGGCATCAATACGATGTGCTGTATCTGGGGACTGGTGAGGGAAATGGCAGCAACATGTGGGGATATACACATGGGCACAGGTGGGAGAGCGTGGTTCTAAGTTGGGAGCAGTCACCGGGGAGAATCCCATTGGTGGAGATGATTTATTATTTGTATTGTAGCTCCTAGGAGCCCAGTCATGCATCTGCACCCATGGAGCTTGGCGCTGTACATATGCAGACCAGCAAAAGGTCCCTGCCCCAAAGATATTACAGTCTCAGAATAACAGAAGAGATGGGCACAGACAGACTAGGGAAGAGTACCAAGAAACAGAGACAATATTAGTCAGCATGGTCAAAAGTGGGTTCAGCATGCTAGTTATACCTTGGGCAATTTTTCTAGGCTTCACAGCAAAGGAGAGTTTTGAGCAGGGTTTTGAAGGAGAATAATTGGTTTTAGTGAGCAGCCCACAAGTGTGATGCACAAAATGTTTTAGTTTGAAAATGTAACAAGTGGACAATAGAAGCTGGCATGACGGGCTGACAGGGCAGAAGTCAACATTTCAATAGCTAATGAGAGATGATAGTGGGAGGAGCAGTGCTTTTTTTGTGTGTTAAAAAAAAAAAAGTGTGCCGGTACTCCAGGAGAAAAGTTGTTGAGCTCTGACTGGAGGTGCTGGTACTGCATCTGGAGGTGCCGGTACTGAGTACTGGGCAGTACTGTCACAAAAAAAGCACTGAGGAGGAGGTTGCAAAGGGTCTGGAAAGCAAAGATACATGGCATATGCCTGGAGCAACTGGGGAACCAGTGGAGGGATGTGGGGAGGGGATGGCACGGTTCAAGCAGCGAGCTAGGAAAACAGTCTTTGAAGCAGCATTCCGAATGATTTGCATGGGGCAAGATTGCATTTATTGAGGCCAGGGAGAAGGATGCTCAGTAATGGAGACATGCAAGAACCAGAGCCCGGGGAACAAGTGTAGCCCTATGGATGGATAGGAGAAGCTGTATCTTAGAGGCATTAAGTAGAAAGAAGCTACAAGACACAGACATGGTCTACCTTCTCTAGGTCCTAACATCCAAAGTCAAAGGTGACATCCAGATTACGGGACAGAGTGACAGGCAGATGCTGGTGTTGTCCACAGTGATGGAGAGAGGGGGTGTTAGAGAGGGCTTGGGGTGAGCTGCGGTGAGGAGAGGGCAGGAATGGCCACCCCTGGCATGTGAGCTCAGGCTCGCCTATGAAAGGGAGGTTGTGGAACTTGTCTCTGCTGCTGTGATACCAAATGTTGTGCTGATATAACCTGTCTCACTGCTCTGGCCTTCCTTTTGCAGACAACGGACATTTGCACAAAGCAGTGAAGATTGGCCAACACGCTGTCATCATTGAGGATCTGCCACTGTTCCCAGAGCCCCAGCCAATTCAGACTCTGCAGCTCCATGAGGTGAGGAAGCCAGCATCTTGCCCTGGGTGCCTGGAGCCCGCGTAGGCTGACTGGCATGTTCTGAGTACTAAAGGACACATGGTATTGAAAAAGGAAACGAACAGCTACAAGGTGGGAAACTATGGGTCTGAAGGATCAAATCCAGAAAGTGGCTGCCTGGCTCAACCCATCCTTATCTCTGCGTCACTGGTACATGAGGTTTATTGGGTCCGATTGCTCCCAGTTGGTGAGGATAATAGTTTCCTCCCTTACCCAGTCGCCCCAACAATCTGTCTGAGCTTACACTGTGCTCAGCGCCATGGCAACACTTGTGTCTTCTCCTTGCAGCTGTCAGCTGGTTACGGTAGACACATTAGTCACGTGTGTTTAATGCAGGGGTGGGCAAGAGGCTGCCAGCGGTCCAGATCTGACCTGCAGCCGCCTCGCTGTAACCCATAGGCAGAGAACAGCTCACACTTTAAAAACCCAGCTGTTCTCCATTCCAGATGGCTGGGGAGGGAGGAGAGAGACTTCTTATGCTGTATCCTCTCTCCCCCCCGCCTCCCCGCCCCAGAAAAATCTCTTAGCTCTCAGTTTTCAGCCAATAGGAGGTATCACGGCTCAATTCCCCATCCTGGCACTCTGAGTGTAGATATGGAGGCTGGCTAGGAGAATAAACAATTGTCTCAGTCTCAGTTTCCATAAGATCTAAGAAAAAAATATTCACTGACACCACCCAACTGTAATTTAAAAAAATATAAGGTAAGCCCTTTTCCAGGGAAGAGATCACTTGGCACTCCCCTCCCTGAGGCAAAGCTTCCCCCTCTACTCCAACCTCCGTTTTGCTTGGAGTTGGGAAAACAGAGGGAATCCGCAGAGAACAGTGGGGTCGGTTTCTCCCAGGTAATTTAGGCACGTAGGTTTAAGGACACACAAATCAACCAATACCGCTTAATCAAAACAAGACTACTGTTGCAAGCATAGTAAATGACTGGATGTTAAAAGCCATAAAATGAAATAGACTCAGGGAAATCCCTGGATTGTAATCCTTTTTTTCAAAAGAGAAAAACAATTAACCAGCTCAGACATGATTTCCAAACCCCAAATAAAGCAAACAGTAAAACCTGATGAACTATCTAAATTTTTTCCTACTTACACATTTCAAGGAGTCCATTCCTAGGAGAGCCTGTCTCCCTTGTTCCCTGGGGAAAACTTCTCTGATCTCCAAATAAAAGAAGAGAGAAAAAAAATCCCTCTCTCTCTCGGTTTGAAATTCCTATCTGCATTTCATTAGCTGAATGCCCAAAGCCCTATCCCTCAAGTGCACATCCAGAGTTGTTTAACCCTTTCCGCACTCTCCAAGTAAGTCAGACTCTCCCTTGCAGTGCCTATTCATGACAGGAGCTGAGAATTTTTGCTGGGAGCAGGGGCAGTATAAGAAGCCTTCGCCCTCCCTCTTTGCTAGCATTTGTGTTTGCTGTTCAAAAACAGGGAAGAATCATAGAATCATAGAACCATAGAGCTGGAAGAGACCTCAGAAGGTCATGAAGTCCAGCCCCCTGCTCTAGGCAGGACCAATCCCAATTAAATCAACCCAGCCAGGGCTTTGTCAAGCCAAGACTTAAACACCTCTAGGGATGGAGACTCCACTACCTCCCTAGGTAACCCATTCCAGTGCTTCACCACTCTCCTAGTGAAATAGTTTTTCCTAATATCCAACCTAGACCTCTCCCACTGTAACTTGAGACCATTGCTCTTTGTTCTGCCATCTGTCACTGCTGTGAACAGCCTTATTCCATCCTCTTTGGGACCTCCCTTCAGGAAGTTGAAGGCTGCTATCAAATTCCCCCTCACTCTTCTCTTCTGCAAACTAAACAAACCCAAATCCCTCAGTCTCTCCTCATAGGTCATGCACTCCGTCCCCCTAATCATTTTGGTTGCCCTCTGCTGGACCCTCTCCAATACGTCCACATCCTTTTTGTAGTGGGGGGCCCAGAACTGGACACAATACGTGAAAAGCCCTCACGTTGAGAAAAGTTGGACACAAATCCATCAGGCTGGATCTAACACATCTGAGGGTGCAGAGGGAGCTGGCTGATGTGATTGCAGAGCCATTGGCCATTATCTTTGAAGACTTGTGGCAACTGGGGGAGGTACTGGAATATTGGAAAAAGAGAAATGTAGTGCCCATCTTTTAAAAAGTTAAAAGATGAACTCCAGAGATCTACAGACTGGTCAGGCTCACTTCAGTTCCCAGAAAAATCATGGAGCAGGTCCTCAAGGAATCCATTGTGAAGTACTCAAAGGAAAGGAAAGTGATCAGGAAATGGCAGCACCGAGCTATCAAGAGCAAGTCATACCTGACCAACCCGATTGCCTCCTATGATGAGATAACTGGTTCTCTGGATATGGGATAAGCAGCAGACATGCTTTAGCAAAGGTTTTGATATGGTTTCCCACAGTATTTTTGCCAGTAAATTAAAGAAGTATGGGTTAGAGGAATGGATTATAAAGCAGAGAGAAAGCTGGCTAGATCATTGAGCTCAGTGGGTTGTGATTGAGGGCTTGATGTCTAGTTGGGGAGTGCCCAAAGGCTTGTTTCTAGAGGCAGTTTTTAATTCAACATCTTTATTAATGACCTGGATGAGGGGATGGATTGCACCCTCAGCAAGTTGGCAGATGACACTACAGTGGGGTGAGAGGTAGATATGCTGGAGGACAAGGGTAGGATCCAGAGTGACCTAGAGTATGGTCATATGCAGTATCTTCCCAGGGTGGCCCCGCCCTCATTCCAGCTGGCTGGGAAGGCTGGAGCCACGTGGCCACCTGGCTGCTCTGGTGGCCGGACCAGGGTTGTCTGGCTGCTGCTGGGGCCAGTGCCATCCTGCTGCTCAGGTCAGGGCTTGGGGCAGAAACTTGGAGCTGAGGCTGCTTGGCCCTTGGGGAGCCCCAAGAAGGTGGTGAAGTTGGGACAGCATGGATTCCAGACTGCTCTAGAGGGGCAGGGAAATTGTGACCGTGTGGCTGCTGGCTGCTCCATGCTGAAGGAGGAAGGGAGCTGGGATTGTCTGGCACTCAAGGGGAAGGCTCTACTTTGGGCAGAGGCTAGTGGCCATATTGTGATGAGGGGCTGGGCACCAGTGGGCATGCAAGGTACAGGACTGGAGCTTGCCTGCCCAGACCAGCTGTGCATATTCCACTCATGATCTAGAAAAATTGGAGAGTTGGGCCAAAAGAAATCTGATGAGGTTCAACAAGGACAAGTGCAGAGTCCTGCCCTTGGGACAGAAGTATCCAAAGTACTGCTACAGGCTGGGGGCCAACTGGCTAAGCAGCAGTTCTACAGAAAAAGATGTAGGGTTTACAGTGGACGAGAACGTAAGAGGGGCCATACTGGGTCAGACTAAAGGTCCATCTAGCTCAGTATCCTCTCTGCTGACAGTGCCCAGTGCCAGAGTGTCTTGTGGTTCGATTTATTTTAGATCCAAGGGACACCAGTACACTTCAGGGCTACTTAACCACTTTCTTATTTATTGCAAGCTTTAAGCAGTTAATACAATTACAAGTCTTAAGAACAATTACTGTACAATTTAAACCTTAAATACTATAAATTGTAAAGCAGTTAATACAGCGCAAAGTAATGCAAAAGCAATTACTAAAAGATCTACTTTCTACAATAATAAACCCTAATTCACTTACACCTTACCTGTCTGCTACCTACAGTGCCTGGCAGGAGGTCGTGGTTCCGTCTTTTCCCACCCATAGGAACGCCACCACTGACATAGCCGGTGTGAAGGGCCTAATCACTTCTAGTTATCTCGAGCAGGACGTGTGGGTCAGTCCTGCCCGTTCACTCACATCAGTTGTTCTTACTACACCCAATTTATAGCATCTCGAGCAGGACGTGTGGGTCAGTCCTGCCCGTTCACTCACATCAGTTGTTCTTACTACACCCAATTTATAGCAGAGAGGGACTTGGTCATTCTAATAAAATTTACTAATTGATTGCGTATTGTGTAGGATACGTAACATGCCCAGTGCCCCTATTTGGGGTACATCCTATCCTGCTACTCAGGATGTTGCTGCTATGTGCGCAGTTGACAGTTTCATGGCTGCTTCTGTACTTTGTACTTATCAGAACAAAAGTACCAGTACAAGGCTGCTTGTTCTATGTTCTTGACGTGGTCTCGCGTACCATGCTTAATTTGCATTGTTATGCAAAACATTTCCTGACGCTCACAGCTTTCTTTATTAACCCATCCTTGCATGCATGCTTTGTTACACCAGACTTGAGACAGGCCAGAAATCCGCACTTTGGACAAGGCAGACATCACCAGTTATTGCCAAGGCAAGGTAGTGCAGGCTCCCCCACGCAAAGGAGATGAACAGAACAGGAACTCATTAAGTGACCCCTCTCTTATCACCCATTTCCAGCTTCTGACAAACAGAGACTAGTGATGCCATTCCTAACTATCCTGTCTAATAAATATTTTTTGAACCCTATTAAAGTCCTGGTCTTCACAACATTATCTGGCAAGGAGTTCCACAGATTGACTGTGTGATATATGAAGAAGTACTTTTGTTTGTTTAAAACCTGCTACCCACCAATTTCAATTGGTGACCCTTAGTTCTTACGTTATGGGAACAAGTAAATAACTTCTTCTTGGAGTGATTGCTCATGTCCATGCCATGTAGGAGTGTGCACGCAGCATGCACGCGTCATCGGAAGTTTTTCTCTTGATAGTATCGTTGGGACAGCAGGGGAACCCCCCAGAGTGCCGGTATATCAGCTAATATACACCCATGCTGGCCCTCCACCGCCTCTGTTCCTTCTTACCGCTCGTGATGGTAGTTGGTCATTGGAATGTGCCTTTGCTCTTGCTCTGCAAGCGCCTCTCAGCACCTCTCCTTTCAGTAGTTAGTTAAAAAGTTCTCAGTTCATTGTTTTTATCTGAAGGTTTTATTAGCTGTTAAATGTTGTAAGTACCCAGGTGTGGGGTAGTTCTAAGTACTCAGGCGTGGGGCTTGCTTTGCATCCCTGTTGCTGTCCAGCACGGCATACCTGGGCCCCACAGCTTCAAGCCCTGTGAGAATGCCAGAAACCTATGACCTGCAGGGACCCTCACACAGCTTGTCTTAAGTGCCTGGGAGAGGCCCGCTTGTCCGAGGCCTGTAAGATTTGCAAGGCCTCAAGCTGCATACAAAGCGGGAAAGGGAGTCTTGCTTGAAGATTATCCTGATAGAGGCAGCCTTATGTTCGGCTCTGTCCCATTTCTCACCAGCAACCCAGAGTGCATTGGTGTTGGTGCGTGAGGCACCTAGCCCCTCTCGAGCCTCCCCGGTGACACACAGATCTCTGTACCAGTAGCAGTCCCTGATGCCTTAGAAGCAGGAGACCTAGCAGGGACAGGTCTCTCTTGAGGCCTATGCCCTTCGTGCACTCTCAAGTGGGGCACATGGCACCGATGGGCACGGCATCAGAACCATTGCGATTGGATCGGCACCACTCGAGTCCACGCTGAAGGGCCAGCCTGGCAGGGCTCTTTCCAGAGACATCCACTCCGGATACCTTTTGAGGCAGCAAGAGAGTTAATTGAGCTGGCCTCTTCCCCGACCCTGGCCTCTTCCCCACCCCACAGTCTAGACACCCAGCATTCCAGCCCTGGACACTAGAGGGCCCCATCGTCCTCCCTGGCACCGTTAACCTTGACCCCGGTCCTGGGTGCAGCACCGAATCCACCCTCAGCAGCAGCCATAGCCTCCACCCCTTCCTGAGCTCCGGCACTGAAACCGGCACCAGCATTGGAGTCAGCACAGGCACAGGGACTTTGGGTGGCACTGGCTGCAGAACCGGGTTCTGCAACCGCTAGCCCTTCCCCTTTGGACATCAGCTCTGCCGCCGGCCATGCTTCCTCAGCACTGGGGAAAACCAGAGTTGATGGGTCAGTACACCCCATCTGGGAGGTCACTCACTGCCACTGTACCACTGTATTCAACAGACTCCGAGGTGGAACCGGTCCAGTTGTCCCGGGGCTCCAGGTCTCGATCCAGACATTGGTCCTATTTCAGCCATCGTTCATGGCACCATAGTGCCTTGGTGTACCCCTACCACCAGCAGCAGCAATGCCCCCAACCTACCTCGGTGCCAGCGTTATAGCAGCACTGGCCACCTCAAGTGCAGGCTCTGACCCAGTGGCCTTTTTGGACCCCCTTGGCCTCCCACCAGAGCCAGGGGGCAGGCTTATCCATACCAGAGTCGGTCTTCTCGGGGCGCAGGCTCCCCCTCAGCAACTCTGCTGACCCCGCTCCCCAACGTCGGTTCGGTCCCTTTCCCTGGGCCAGGCTTCCTGGAGCATCAGATGTTACTGTGGCCTCTGGTGATCTCACAAGCTTGGGAACTAGAGGCGATGGGCCTGAAGGGGTCCTCGTCCTCCTCACCTAATGAGGTGCTTGGTGGCTCTCTCCCTTCCGTGCCATCCATGGACTCAGGTCCCATCAGGAACTTCTTCACCAACTTGTTCAGCGTTTGGGAGTCCAGGTAGAGAGGGTGTCGGGGGATTTGGACCCTAGGGTCGACATCCTGCAGGTCGACACCCTTACCAGGGTGGCCCTGCCAATTAATAAGAATGTGCCCAAGATCACACAGACACTCTGGCAGACTCTGGCCTCTATCCCACCAACAGACAAGAGGGTTGAGCGGAGGTATTTCGTTCCACAGGAGGGGAACGAACATCTTTTTCCCCCACCCATCTCCGGGGTCCCTGCTTGTTCAGGCAGTGAAGCAGAGGGAGAGGCAGGGCCAGCTAGGCACCACCCCCAAGACCCTCTCTGGAATGTAGAGGAGCCTGGCTTATGTCACTTGGTCTCTGTCCTGCTCCTCTTGAGTGGCATGAGGGGCTGGATGGCTCCAAGGATGAGCCAGCATCTCAGAAAGGACGGTGTTATGGGAGAGCAAGGAGTGCCTGCCCCATTGTCCTCCCTTGACATGCTCATTGGGCACCTTGGGCACAAGCAGATACCAACTTTGAAAATGTCCTGAGCCCAAGATACTCTTTGTACAGAGCCAAGCTCTCCAAATGATTGTCATCCTAACCCTGACTCTCTTGCTCCCTTTGTAGAGCTGGTTGTATGTAGGGTCCTCTACTGAAGTGACTCAGGTCAACACAACAGACTGTGAGAGATATAAGAGCTGTGTCGAGTGTGTCTTGGGCCGAGACCCCTCCTGTGCCTGGAGCAGAGAGCTGGGTGCTTGTATACGCCACCAGGGAGAAAGTGGGTAAGTGACTTACCTCCATTGCCTGTTGCCTGGGTAGTGCTTCCTCACTTCACTTATAAATGTAATCAAGTCAGGCTCACTTATCCTAAGATATTGTTTAACTTTTAGTTCTGTGATCCATGTCTCTTTCTCTGGTAAGACAAGGTCTAATGAAGAATTCCCATCAGTTGGCTATAACAGTTCCTCAGAAGGGAAACTGTCATCTGTAATGTACAGGAATTCCAAGAATGGAAGTCCTCCATGACCATAGATATTTTTTCCTATGCATTACAGATGGTGTGACTTGCTGGGCTGCTAATAAATAAATGTTCTTATGCTCTGTATTATAAAGCATTAATCCATCAGCCTTCAGAATAATTTTCTTCCAAATTAACAGTGATTCAGAAACAGATTGTGCTGTTTTTTAACATACAGTACCACTCCTCTTTTCTCCTTTTGCCCACTCAATCCTTAATAGGTTATCACCATTGATTTTTAACATTCCGATAGTGCAGGGCTGCGCAAAATATGGCCAGGGGGCCGAATCTGGCCCGCAAAGCCACTGGATCTGGCCCGCCAACCACGCTGCCAGGACTCTCAGGCACGCAGCTGCCGCGGGTTTAAAGCGCAGTCTGGTGGCTTACTGTTCTGGAGGGAGACGAATTGTGTGATCTCCCTGCCCCCAGCCCAATTCTCAGCTCCTATTGGCCAGAAACAGCCAGCCAATAGGAATTGACCCCAGCCAATAGCTCAGTTCCTATTGGCTGGAAACAATCAACCAATAGGAGCTGAGAGATTGGCCTGGGGGATGGGGGGCAGCACAAGCTCTTGTCCCCCACTCCCCCAAGCTGAGAACCACATGGAGGGAACAGCCTGCAGCTCTAAGTGATCCGGGGCTGTAGCAGGTAGGGAGCCTGGCCTGCCTTGAGGGGTGCTGCCCAGGAGATGCTTAGGTAAGTGCCGCCCCAACCAGAGCCTCTGGCACCCCTGCTCCTCCTGCACCCAAACTCCTGCCCCCAGGTCACCATCCAAACTCTCTGCACCCCCCCCCTAGCCCAGGTCACAATTCCCTCTCAGGCCCTGTACCCCCTCCTGTACCTCTCCCCCAGGCCAGAATCCTCTCCTACACCCAAACACACTCCTAATCCCCTGACCCAGGTCACAACCCCCTCCTTCATAGAATCCTAGGACTGGAAGGGACCTCGAGAGATCATCGAGTCTAGTCCCCTGCCCTCACAGAAAGACCAAGCACCATCTAGACCAGTGTTTTTCAACCAGTGGTATGAGTACCCTTAGAGGTACTTGAGAGAAATCAGGAGGGAAAGGGGGGGAAACGTCATCACAACTGAAACTTGGAGAAAATTGAATTTTTGTTTTAAGTTGTACAGCGCTTTATTTTTGTAGTTTTTACACCCAAAAATTTTATCGCCTGCCCGGCTACGATTAAGTTGAACAAATGTGTTGCAATAGTAGAAAAATATTTTGTGTGTCTGAAAACTGTTAAGTACTAGAGGTACTTCTTTTTTTTTTTTTTTTTTTAAGGGGTACTTTATAAGGTTGAAAAACACTGATCTAGACCATACCTGATATATATCTGTCCAGTCTGCTCTTAAATATCTCTAGTAATGGAGATTCTACAACCTTCCTGGGCAATTCATTCCAGTGTTTAACCACCCTGACAAGAAGTTTTTCCAAATGTCCAACTGTAACAGCGTGTCGGGGATTCCCCAACCCTGCACCCCTGTCCACAGCCAGATGTGACTCTGCCAGCCAGTAGAATAGAGAGGATTTATTGCTTCTCAGAAATACAGCACAGCCCGGGTTCAATATGTGCATCGGAGTAAGGGGCAGGCAGCCTTAGACCCCTTGGGGTAGGGGTACACAGGCCCCTGAACCCCCAGCATGCAGCTTAGTCTGTTCTCTTCATGTTTTCACAGCCAAGACTGACTCTTCTCCAAACCACACCCTTCCTTTGGTCAGACTCCTTCCTTCCTCAGGTGAGAACCGGTTGGGTCATTGTCTATGTGACCTGAGGTTCCTCAGTGCCACCCCCCGCTGGGCAGTGCTTACAGACGCAGGCCAGTAGGGGTCATCCACAGTCCACACAGCAACCAGTGAATGCCCAACCAGAATGGGCCTAGGGCCACTAGAGTAAACAGCCTCTCAATTACGTCACAGCAGGTCTGGACAGCAGACTTCATGGACAGTGTGACATGAGGGCCCTCAGGAGCGACCCCCAGCTGGGCAGTGCTTACAGACACAGGCCAGTAGGGGTCACCCACAGCCCAAGCATAGCAACCAGCAAATACCCAACCAGAATGGACAGCACCCCCCACTACATCACACCAACCTAAACCTCCCTTGCTGCAGTTTAAGCCCATTGCTTTTTGTCTTATCCGA